ATTCATGTGGCCGACCTTTCCTGTTTTGGTAAGGTATAAAAGGAGGGTTCAACCTCCATTTGCATTTTTTGCTGCTATTTGTGAGAAGTGTTTGTGCGATTTAAATTGACCGGATTCAAGATCAAGTTGATTTCAAGTATCTGATTTCAAAAGGTTTTTCAAGGTGAGTGATTTCTAAACCTTTTTGCATAAAACTTGTTACTGGTTTTWTTTKAATGTTGTTTATTTTGGAAAGAAATCAGTTATTTGTTTAAGGGTTTTATCCRRACAAAGDGTGACCGGATTATTCTTAAATCGAACAAGGGTTGGGCGATTAAGCCCTAAACCGAACAAGTGTTAAGCGGTTTAGTTTTAAACCGGTTAAGCACTGAACGAGTTATGAATGATAAATGTGGTAAACATTTTGAACGGAGAAGTATGAATACGACCATGTGGTGACCGGATTGTTTTAAATCAGATAAGTCTTAGGCGATGTATTGTCCGGACTTGTTATCCGAACGAAGATGTTAAAATTTAATCTAAGTGTTAAATCGGACAAGATTTGGGCGATGAGTTGTCCGGATTTGGTAAACCGGCTAAGACTTGACCGGAGATGAAGTCCGGCCAAGCCTATGTTGATCGGATTTGTTCTATGCCTTGTGCTTGATTGATGGAAATGATTATTTTATCAAACAATGGAATTTTGATATAAATGATTTTGGATTAATAATAATTCCATTGGCTACGGTCTATTTGGAATTGTTTTTGCGAAAAGTTTTGATGAAGAAATAAGGGTGGCATATCAAGGAGAGGTGTACCATGGGATAAGGGTGACATATCAAGGAGAGGTATACCATGGGATAAGGGTGGCATATCAAGGAGAGGTGTACATTTGATATAAGGGTGGCATTTGTATGTGTGTTGTATAATATAACTCTTTCTATTATATCCCTTAAGACTACCGTGGTCTAGAATTTTTATTTCTTTGTGATTTAAAGATTTAGGATCAAGGTTCTTATTGGAAATCATAGTCTGGATGTTATTGAGGAGAAAATAACAGGTTTGGCCTGAAACTTTATATAAACATTTTTTGGTTAGAAAAAGGTTTAAAAGTGGCATTATATGAAACCTGATTGGTTCAAAGGTATGATATCTGAATAGCTGAATGCTTAGCTTGAAAAGTGGAGAGAATCTGGTATTATGTCTCTATTTGTTCATATATTTGTTATATATGAATAGTTGTTTTCCATAAAAGTTTTTGGTGATTTTCACCCTGCAATGACATAAATAGGGTATCTCACTAGACCTTTTGGTCTAACCCTCGTTTTGTGATTTTAACTATGTATTGCAGGAGGTACCGACGGTAAGGGGAAGGGAAAAATGTAATATTTTCCTATATGCATTTCTACGTGAAGATCTATCTTTAATGTACAGTTTTGATTATTGAACGTTGATTAGTGCAAGAAATGTATTAGAATTTTTGGACCTTGTATTCTGTATAGAGATTTCTTGTACTAAGAGACCTGAATGTGATATAAACATGTATTTCTTTTGTATGAAATATGTGTTACATGCAATGTGTGTTTTGGGGTGTTACAGAAAGTGGTATCAGAGCCTGAGTTTAAGGGATTTAGGTATTTAACAACATGATACCTAGATTTAAAATGTTTTTATTGCATGTTAAGTGTCCAGGACATAGTTAGCTCAATTGGAAATAAATATGATGGGTTGAAAGAACAGTGTGTAAGGTAAATTTTAATTACATCTGGCTAGTGTAATTATGAATTTACAGGTACACATCTGAACTTGAATACTTCATTATATTTGGGAATGTGAATACGTGATTATTAACACTAAAATCTGCAGATGTCTAGCCGAACTCGAAGATGTGAAAGAGTGGCTCGTCCAGAATCTGAGGAAAGGGAAGAATCACCCGTAAATCTACCGACTAGCACGTCTGGAAATAGAGGTCGGGGAAGATCAAGGGGACGAGGTAGAGGAAGAAGTCAGTCTCAGGGAAGGGGCCAGACCGAAATACATTTTGAACATGAAGAATCCCATTCTGGAAATGTTCAGGAGAGATCGATGCCACACCCTGAATATGTAACCAGGGATATGTTGGTTGAAGAAATGGAAAAGTTGCGGGAAACTTTGACTTCTATTATGGGAGTTCCAGCCAGGGTAGAAACAGAAAGAATAGAAGTTCATCCCTCGATGCAGTTACTCATAACAAGGAGGGGGATATTAAAATGTTTCTGGCATGTAAGCCACAAACATTTCTAGAGAAAGAGATCCAGTGAAAGTCGTGTGCTGGATTAAAGAAATGGAATCAGTATTCAACACCATTCCGTGTCCGGAAATAGATAAAGTTCGATTTGTTGTTTCTGTATTAAAGTCAAATGCTTTGTTCTGGTGGGAAGTTGAATCGTCGGCCAGAACACATGTTTTACAATCATTGTCTTGGGCAGAATTTGTGGAATGATTCAAGAACCAATTTTGTCCTAAGACAACAGTTAGGCAAATGGAAGAAGATTTTCTGAAGCTGGAACAGGGAAATGGAACAGTTCGGGAGTATACCGAAAGATTCATTGAATACTCTCGCTTTGCTGAACAATATGTTTCAACGGAACCCAGGAAGATTGAAAGGTATATTTGGGGTTTGAAACCCTCAATCAGAGAATTTGTAATTGCCATGAACCCCAATTCCTTTTCATTAACGGTAGATGCGGCCGAAGTGACCGAACGAAATAAGAACCGACAGCCAGAAGGAAAGGTTGTAGAGAAGAGAAAATGGGAGGGGTCTTCATCTTTTCGAGGGCCGAAAACTGTAAGATATGATAACAGATCTGAACAGAAGATCAGTGAGAAAGTCTGCTCACAGTGTCGATAGGTTCATCAGGGTGAATGTAAGATGGATCCAAAGAAATGTTATAAGTGCGGCGAAGCAGGTCATCTGTCCAGAAACTTCCCAGCTAACCGAAGGTGTTTTTATTGCAATTCTCCGGATCATATTCGACCGAATTTTCCCTTGTTAAGAACTCCACAACTTACAATGGGAAGTAATGCGTCGGGTACTTGGGGAAGACTTACTGTGAATAGAGGAGGGCAAGGAGGGGCGCGAGGACGGTCCTTCCAGATGACTAAAAACGAGGCAGAAGCATCGCTGGATGTAGTAACAGGTACATTCCTTCTGAATTCAATACGTGCTAAGTTGTTATTTGACTCTAGTGCAAACTTTTCGTTTGTATCACCAATGTTTGCTCAAACTGCATGTCTGAATTTTGTGATACTTGATGATGAATTAGTAGTTGATACTGCTAATAGTCAGGAAACTGTTACAAGTGTGTTTAATAACTGTAATATTATGATTGAGGGTTGTGAACTTCTGATCCGGTTATTTCCCATGCCAATGAAGGAATTTGATGTAGTGGTGGGTATGGACTGGTTGGCAAGGTATCAGGCCAGTATTGTTTGTAATCAGAAAATGATCAGAATAACGCTGCCAGACCAAGGAACAGTTGTTATTTATGGTGATCGTCAGAATCACTATACCAATATTTTGTCAGTAATGAAAGCCCAGAAAAGTATTCGGAAGAAATGCCAAGGATGTTTGGCATACGTAATTGATCTGAAGAAAGAAAAGGGAAAAGAAGAATCAATTCCGATTGTTAATGAATATCCAAAAGACTTATCTGGATTACCACCAGATAGAGTCATTGAGTTCCGAATTGATTTATTACAAGGGGCTTTACCAGTAGCAAAGGCGCCATGCCGTTTAGCTCCATCTGAATTAAAAGAACTGATTGCACAGTTGCAAGATTTATCGGCTAAGGGATTTATTAGGCCCAACACTTCACCTTGGGGTGCCCCGGTCTTATTCGTCAAGAAGAAGGATGGGTCTATGCGAATGTGTATAGACTATCATGAATTGAATAAGCTGACAATCAAAAACAAATATCCTTTACCGAGGATTGATGATTTGTTTGACCAATTGGTGGGAGCAAGTTATTTCTCCAAGATTGATTTAAGGTCAGGATATCATCAGCTCAAAGCCAGGGAAGAAGATGTTGCCACAACATCATTCAGAAGAAGGTACGGGCATCACGAATTCTTAGTTATGCCATTCGGCTTAACTAATGCGCCCGCCGCCTTTATGGATTTAATAAATAGAGTATGTAAAGAGTATCTTGTTAAATTCGTTATTGTATTTATCGATGATATTCTTATATACTCTAAGACCAAAGAAAAGCACGCGTAATATCTTCGTCTGATATTAGAATTATTGAAGAAAGAAAAGTTGTAACGCAAAATTGTCTAAATGTGATTTCTGGTTGAGAGAAATTCAATTCCTGGGTTACGTCATCTCAGAAACAGGGGTAAAAGTAGATCCAACGAAAATAGAAGCAGTTACAAGATGGGAAGCTCCGAAAAATCCTTCTGAAGTCCGAAGCTTTTTGGGAATGGCTGGTTATTACCGTAAGTTCATTCAGAACTTTTCTAAGATAGTCGTGCTATTGACTAAATTGACTCGGAAGAACATTAAATTCCAGTGGGAAGGAGAACAGCAAGAAGTTTTTCAACTGTTAAAAGATCATCTTTGTAGCGCACCGGTATTGACTCTACCAGATGGATCTGAAGACTTTGTGGTTTATAGCGATGCCTCAAAATTAGGGTTAAGATGTGTTCTGATGCAGAGAGGAAAAGTGATTTCTTATGCGTCAAGACAATTGAAAGATCATGAGAAGCAGTATCCAACCCATGACATGGAATTAGCTTCCTGCCTTGTCCTTGATGGGTTTGTCGATGGGTGTTGGTTTGAACATTGCATCCATGCTTGCTTTGATCCTTTGGACGCGATCAGAGGGATGCTTCCCTTTTTGCCCGCTCGTTGTGCCTTCCGAGTTTGCTCTATTTGGATTGATCGGTACATGCTTCATTGCAGGAGTGACAATCCTGGTGCCTTGAGCAGGGACCCTAGCTCTGTGGGTTATTGGATGTGGTGGAGGAGCTGCAACGGTTACTTCTTCTAGAGGAATGGCAACCGGAATGTTTATTAGCGTCGGATCAGCCACATTCACGGCTACCACCTCTTCTTCTTGTTGGGCTGTTATTGATGGAGCAGCCATGTCCATAGCATACTCTGTTGAGGAGGACAGAACCAGGTCAGAGTCGTCTGATCCATAGGTAGATAGAAGGGCGATCACTTCTGTAGACTTGTGTGGCACGACTGGCTCTGCCTCTAATGTCATAGGCATTTTCCCTTTGCGTAGTGCCTCTGCGTTGTCTAGCACTTGCTGGCTTTGTCTGCTTTGCCTTGGTTGACTTTGATGGCGTGGAGCAGAGGACGATGGTGCAGAGGAGACAGCCAGAGGTGTTGTACTTGGTATGGCTATAGGCAGGTTCTCCCCCTCTTGGCGATTTTGAGGACGAGACTCGTCTAGGTCCTCATCATCGTCAAGTCGCCTCCTCTTTGATGGTTCAGCACATGGAGACTGATCTCGCTGTCACTTAGGTCTTTCATCCTCTGCTTGAGACATGGATCTGATCACTTCTTCGATAGTTTTGAGGAGTTCATCAACTGCAACGACAACCCTTCGCACTTTGTCGTCTGAATGGTAGTTGAATCGTGCGAGAGTGTCATTGATATTCTTTGCAGTTGTTGTGGCCTTGTTATTGAAGTCTGCAGTGAAGTACGCCACCTTCTGTAGGAGTCTGTCACCAAGAGCATTCATGGCGCTCTGTGTGATATAGTCCACAGGTACACTCAGAGGTGTGAGGGCCTGGTTGTTGATCGACATAGACGCCTCAACCCGGTGTAGAGATGCAACAACTCGCTGAAATGTTGTATTGGTTGTCGTTAATTCCATTAGTGTATTGATACGAGAAGCATTTGTCGTGGACTTAGCTCTTAGTACTGCCAAGGATGCTCGTATCTTATCCAGAGCAAGTGTAGAAGGTGACGACTCTACACAGGCCAAGCTGAGTTTTAGCTCTTCCAAGGAGCATCACATAGAGGTGAAAAGGGAATGGAACTCTTCCCTAGTGACATATGCAGATGTTGTAACCCCTGGCTTAACACATGGGCCAGATTGAGTCCCCGTTCCATGGACGCCTTCATTCATGACTTGATTTACATTTGTCGAGGAAGGACTTCCAGAGGATCCTCATGATTCTCCTCGAGGAGAATTTACTACCTCTGTTTTGTCAAGGAGAGGACCCAAGGCTGGTTCAGAGCCAGCCAGAGGGCTCTCCATGAGTGGACGAGGAGACTGGTCGAGAGTCTCAAAGTCTGGTGCACCTAGTTCTTGCTCTGAACAAGGGTGGGGTTCTACTTGTGCAGAGGAAACAAATTCCTCTGTGTGGGAAAGTGGCGTGATATGGGGAGACATATCACTTATGTTTTCCAAGGTTACACTCTTTTGAGAGGGTGTTCCCTGTGGAGAGGTGTCCCTTTGGCTAATATAACCAGAGGCAGATGCGACCTCTGGTTGGATAGGCTGGTTAGGTTTCGAGGTATGTGCCTCTGTTTCAATGATCTCCGTGTCTTGACCACCGGAGTCAGATCGTGTGGTTGCACTTGGAGTGGGGTAGGTGAATCTGATGTGCTTATTTGGCCTAGGCTGCTCTGTCCTACCCTAAGACAGAGCAACTGCTTCACCTCCTCCTCCTTCTTCTTCTTCTCCTTCTCCTTCCCCTTCTCCTTCTCCTTCTCCTCCTCCTCCTCCTCCTCCTCCTCCTCCT